TCGAATTCGAAAGAAACCTGAGCGATAATCATCATCACACCTACGTTCTGGCAGCTTCATTCCGTTGAAACACGTGACATGCTTCGACGCTATTCCTCTTCGGCTCATATCGATGATAACGCGCGATAACGCTAGTCTAAAAATGGTAGCACGTTAACAATAGCTGGAGTCCGCAGCTTTCGGACAGATCCCTTGACCAAGTACAACCCGTTTCATTGACATATCTCCATTGAGTGCTGAGCCCCCAAATGAACAACAGACCTGTAGAACAAGCTCTGGCTACGTTAGTGCCGACGCACGCCAATAACCTACCACCAGAGCTCGTCAGCTTAGCCCTGTCCTTGGTCGCGCAATCACGAAGCTTTGCAGCAAGCTTGAAGCCTGAAGAGGAGATTGCAAGGCCATATGCCTGTGCCGAGATTGCATGCAGAAGGTAGAACTATTCAGACCCACTTGATTGACATGAGCTGAATGAGCCGTCGCTACTCCAGGTTGAGCAGGGCTCTCAAACTTCCTCCGCTACTTGGCCATCCTCCATGCCCTCCACGAGCATACAAGAAGCTATACTCTTTTCTGGAACGGTCGTTGTCGACTAGTGCCAGCCCCTCAAAGCGCGCAAGGGACAGTTCAGCCTCAGGGACGCCTTCACGCTCCGGCTCCGTACCTTCAACGCCTACGAAAGCACAAGCATTTGCAAAAGCCGCTGCGACGCCGCGAGGTCTTCAAAATACCCCGAGCAAGTCGACGCCTCTCAAACAAGCAGTCAATGCCTCAGATAGACGGGCTGCACCATTGCCCACCCCTCAGAAAACCACCAAGGTCCGCCCCAATGGTCTGTCCAGCTCTACGATCATCCCCGATGCACCTGCGTGGGTCATGGATTCGATCCGGACAGTGTGCAAGACACTTTCCACTCCAGCACCGCGCACGAGCACATGGTCTCGGCCCCCGATCTCTCGAACTCTGCCGCCACATATTTTCGCTGGAGTATCATCGATCCTCTACCTCATCTCGAACCTCTCAGCAAAGAATGACGAGGATCTGGACGAAGAAATGATGGAATTCCTCGAGCCGATCATCACGGTCAAGGATACAGAGAAGGACGAGGATTTCAAGGAAGTTGTGTACGCGTTGATCGTAGCAGTCTACTTCATCGTGCTTGCACGCCGGCGCAATGCACCAGACGATGGCTCTTCGGAGGCAGGCGAGGCACGGAAGATGGACAAGAAGACATTTTCGGAGATGCGGCAGACTGCCCTTGTCAGCCTTGGCCTGCCGTCCACGGAGCGGCGGCACCGCGACGACGTTGATCAGTGGATTGCGTTAATCATGGAGCAGGGCTGGATGAACGGTCAGGAGTGGTTCGAGAATATCCCGCAGGCTGGGGAAGTGGACGGAGACGATGAGTACCTGTCGGATGAATATGGCGGCCGTGACAGTGAAAGAAAGCGCCAGAAGACAACAGGTGCGGGCCGTGGTTTTCTTTTGGAGGACTCATCGAAAAGAAAAGGTCTCCTGCCTGGTTTGGGGACAATGATGCAGGACCGGGTCGACTGGTTGAGTGTTGATCGCCGCGAGGATTACATTGAATGGAAGGCCGATATAATGGCGCGCATTCAGCAGTTGACCTCTGCCAGATGAATAGCGGGAGTCCTATCTCACCATTCTCATTTGCATGATATGAATTTTATGATACCCTTGACCTAAATAAACATCTATAATGTTCCTCTAACTAGATAGGTTTTACATGCCCCCTCATCCATGCCGTACCGACCTGAAACATGCCAAAAATCACCTCTATCCTCTATAAACCAATAGTGCAGTAGATGGCAATCCGACAGAGCGTAAAAAAGTCACCTAACTCCCAGAAGTGACAGCAAAGAAAATCCCAGTAAACTGGAGCGCAAAGTATGACTCCGGACGGTACGTACGCCGAACGCATCGCCATGAATATGCAAACAGGGAAAAAATTATTTGGGTATCATGGTAAGTGCCAATCGGTTCATGTGCTGCATATGGGTTAATACCAAATGCTCCTCGTTCTGTGATGCGGAATGGTCTCGCGGCCGTCCCTCTCCAACTCTTTTGCTGTATCATACAAGAAGAAGTCGATCAAGATAGCATTTATCCCCGAGCCGGATGTATCTTGCGTACTGGCCTTTCGGATGTGCTTTTGTGTAACAGGATTTGTCTCGCTTTCGGATGAAGTGGCTCCATTCGCTGGGCTTTCAGTTGATGCCCCTTTTGATATCTTCTGCTTCTTCACTTCAGGGTGTTGGCGTTCAATCTCACGCCTAATCAACTCGACGCACCAGATGCTGGTTGCGCGCAGCTCAATCTCCCAGTTGGAGCCACTGGGAATCACCTTTTTACTCCTGATGTGGGTCTCTAACGATGGCGAGTATAAAAGACAGCCAAGTTGATGGAGCATCTGCGGGATTCGGTAATCTGCCAGTCGTCACTTGTGAGTTATACCGTGATATGTTGGGAGGGAAATAAACCTACCGGCAAACATCGTGATTTTGTCAATATCATGAAACTCTCCGTAACTTTCTCCATTGAAACAAGCCCAGAGGTCTGCCACGAGGATCTGTGCGCGTTTGTATAATCGTACTCGCCGGCCTTGGAAAACTGTCTCATCTCGGAAGCAGGGAAAGCTTTCTACAAGAAGATTGACAAGAGCTGCGGCCGAGTAATTGGCGCTATAAATGCAGTTCACAAAGCTGCCGTCGAAATCCTAGAAACGCACTGAATTAGTTTCGAATGATAAGAGATTACGACATGGCATCAACATACCGAGCAAAGGACCCTGCCTGCTTCACGAAGGCATTGGAGACGTTCATCAAGTAGTGGAATCTCCTCTTCACTCGCTGATCGAAAAACATGTCTCAAAAGAGCGTCTGTGCATTCCTCCTCATTGATCCAGAATTCTGGTGTGGTGATCTGAATCCCTGAAGGTAGAGGGCGTGAGTCTCATCTCAAGTGTGAAGATTTTGACAGAGGACTTACCCTCATCCAAAGCCCTTTGCAATGCGGCTACCAGACTCCAATATCCTGTCCACTTCTTCCCCCGATACTCAATGCAGAATCGCTTGGACGGTTCAGTTTGGTCCGACCAGAAGCTAAAGTTCAAAAGATCCATCGTGAATATGAAGTCAACTGTGCTTCCGTCTTTCGCCTTGGGGTGCAACTCATGATCTGCCCATGTCTCGGTTGAGTAATTCTTCTTCTGCATCAGCCGCCATATTGTCTCCGCCGCTTCCTTAACCTTCGCCGGACTCAGGGCGACGTCAATGGCATTATCGAAGACAAATTGCGCATTTTCGAGGACTTTTGTCTCCGCAGTCTGTGGATTGGCAGGCCCGCCATCTAGTCCAAGTGATTTGCGGAGAAGGGCCAGGAGCTCGGGATCGGCTTCGTCGTCCGACATGGCGCGTGCTATCATTCTGGTCTATTTCTAGGAGTCCTCACACAATTGTCCAAATTGTAGGCTATAACTGAAGGTATATATCCACCTGTTAGAAACCAAGATTGGTGCCAGTGAACACGGGAGTAAGGGGTCTTTTTCGAGCGCGGACGTATAGTTGCAGAGAACTATATCGCCAGATTGCCTTTGACTCAGCGACGGCTGATCAGTTTGCCGCAAAGGAAGGGACCCTACAGAGCCAGTCTTTTTCGAATTCTATGGGGACGACCGAAGGGTGCTTTGAGCAAGTCACAGCATGGAGAGGGCCTGTAGACAAACCAGAGAGGATGTTAAATTGTAGGAAAGGGGTTGAGAGAAAAATGATTCAGCTGCCTAACCTCAATTTCAGATCCAAAAATTGGCTTCTTTATCTTATCTGGGGATTTTCGGGGAACTTCTTTTGGGAGGTTAGGTAAGCGATGCGGATTCGTGCCACATTCTTCAGGCACAAAGGGGTCCCGCCATCCAAGTCCAGCAGCAGAGCTGTATGTCTCTGACCACAGTCCTCGCCCCTTTGAACTGGGGCTAGGGCGCGGATGCAATGATTGTTTGACCCCAATAATCATTGAATATGGAGGAAAAGCGACAGAGCCCCAGGGAGATGTTGACTCCATGGTCTGATGCTGATGTGGAGAGATGTTCCTCCATTGAACTGCCACTACTGTGATGACGTTGGATCATCTCCAAATCATTGGAGACCAGCTAGATAGATGGAGGATTTCATAGCGCAAGATCATATTCTCCGCAAATCCTTAGGGGAAAAGTACTGAGTAAATTGCATAACAAGTGACGCATATATGCATAGATACTGGTCTAGCTGGTACGGAAATGAGAGAATGAGAGAACGAGAGAATGAGAGGAATGTGAGGTCTCACAGTCCAGGCTCGGGCAGATGCAGCAGTCTCTCCAGTCAGGAGGTTTGATTAGAGCCATGCATGCATACTGCTTGTTCTCCATCTGCTCTCCCTCATCACCCTAAGAAATTAATTCTCTAAGATTCTCGACCGCCTGGACGCCGATTAGGTATAAGAGGCGCAACAAGGCTGCCCTTTTTCCTAATCAGCCTGTATCTACCGTTCTCTTCACTTGACGCTGATAAGAGCGTATCCGTGCGCGAAGTTTGAGAGCTTCCCTCTTGAGATTGGAAAATGTCTTTGTAGTCAAAACACTCCTCATGAGATTGACTGATCCCAAAGAGTCTCACCAGACGTATTCACTCGCCTTTTCGTCCTGCAATGGATGAGGCGCCATTGTGTTGGTTGAAGCTGCGACGGAACTGAACTGACCCCGGCACTCTTTTTCCTTTCAACCTTGCGCCTGGTTACGTCTTGTTTCCGGATTCCCTTCCAGCTTCTTCAGAACTACCTTATTAAACTCACTTTCTCCCAACACCTCCTGCACTTTATCGCATACCTTATGATATCCCTCCTTCGTTCAATCAACTCTGCTTCTAAGTGATCAGTTACTTCGGGGATGTTCTTCCCACAACCCTGAAGCTCTACGTCACAACCCATCTTTCTTCAATTCGCAACAAATGGCAAGGGACGCTTATCTGAAGCGTTCCCTCGGAACGCTTTCCAGGCGCATCAAAGAGGTAGCTATATCGCACCCTACCCTTACTTTCGCAATGCGCTTGTACTCGCGACCGTTGAATAAAGCTTGATGCTGACGTCTACCTCTTTTCCAACTTAGTCGCGTGTGCTTCTTGTTGGTGCCGGCGGTATCGGCTGCGAGTTGCTCAAAAACCTTCTGTTGTCCGGCTTTGGAGAAATACATATCATTGACCTCGATACCATCGATCTGAGCAATTTGAACCGTCAGTTTCTCTTCCGCTACGAACATATCAAGAAGCCGAAAGCATTGGTACGTCTTCGCCGTCTGATCGGTTCCTCTGCCTTCCCGCGTCCGCTCGCTTTGTGCTTCGATCTCCTACGTTACGCGATATGACGGACAAGGTCTGACCTATGCGGGTAATCATATAGGTTGCCAAGGAAGTGGCTCATAAGTTTCAACCGAGCGCAAAGCTGGAAGCATACCATGCAAACATCAAGGACAGCCAATTCAATGTGGATTGGTTCGCGACCTTCGATTTAGTCTTCAATGCGCTTGACAACCTTGACGCCCGGCGACATGTTAATAGAATGTGTCTGGCTGCCAATGTGCCGTTGATTGAGAGCGGAACAACAGGGTTCAATGGACAGGTGCAGGTTATCAAAAAGGTAAGCCCTTACTCTCCTTTCCTTCCTCACATCTTTACTAACTATCACAGAATCACACCGAGTGCTACGACTGTAATTCAAAGGAAGTACCCAAGACCTTTCCAGTGTGCACCATCAGGAGCACGCCGAGCCAACCCATTCATTGCATTGTCTGGGCTAAGAGTTACTTGTTCCCGTGAGTGTTACGCATCTCTGCGCGCATTAGCCTCAAACATGTCTAATGCTGTGAAGCGAGCTCTTTGGTACCAGCGAAGATGAATCGGAAGAATTCGATCATTCAGCAGATGCCGATAACGGTAAGTACCTTTGGTCGTCTACGTATCGCAAGGCGGTCCTAACCCTGTGGCAGCTGCCGAAATCGCCAATCTGCGTAAGGAGGCTCAAGCTCTGAAAGCAATCCGTGAGTCCATGGGCTCGACCGAGTTCTATCAGAAGGTATTCGAGAAAGTCTTCAAAGAAGACATCGAGCGGTTAAGGGGCATGGAAGACATGTGGAAAACCCGAACAGCACCCCAGCCCCTAGATTTCGAAAAACTGCAACAAGAATCTTCCTCAATCGAGCCCATCGTCTCTGTCAATGATCAGAAAGTGTGGTCATTAACTGAGGACTTTGTTGTTTTCAAGGATAGGTCCGATACCCTGTCGCTTCAGACAATTCTTCGCGAGCAATAGCTGACGGTCAGATAGCTTGGAGCGACTCAGCAAACGCTTAAAGACTTTGCAAGAAACAACCAAGGACGGTCTGAAGCCGATCCTGATATTTGACAAGGATGATGTCGATACTCTCGACTTTGTCACTGCGAGCGCCAACCTTAGAGCGACGATCTTCGGAATCGAGCCTAAGTCAAAATTTGATACGAAACGTGAGCTTGATGCTATCATTGGTTTATTTCTCTTGCTAATTGTTGTATCAGAGATGGCTGGGAATATCATTCCCGCAATTGCGACAACGAACGCGATGACAGCGGGGCTCTGCGTGTTGCAGGCTTTCAAGGTTCTCAAAGATGATTTTCAAAATGCCAAAATGGTACGCACTACCTTTGAACTCATTCCTCGTGTAATCTGACCTCTCATCCTCGATCAGGTCTTCCTTGAACGCTCTGGGGCGCGCGCCGTCAACTCTGATTCCCTGAAACCGCCCAATCCGAGCTGCCCTGTGTGCTCGGTTGCCACTGCCAGAATCAAGATTGACCCTGAACGTGCGACTGTGAATGACCTAGTGCAGAATGTACTCCGGTTGCAATTGGGCTACGGCGAAGAATTCTCTCTGAGCAATGAGCTGGGAACTATCTACGATCCGGATCTTGAAGACAACCTGCCCAAGAAACTGTCGGATCTCGGTATCAAGAATGAGAGTTTCCTCACTGTCGTGGACGAAGAGGATGAACAACCGCGTGTCAATCTCGAACTTGTCGTGCTTGTACCTGAAAAGTAAGTTTACAGGATAAAGGGTCTAGTGGTAATTGTGCTAACTATATTTCAGACCGGAGCCCTCTGAAGCAGAAAAACCTGTCTCTCTAGAGAAGATGATCGATATTCCACGGAAGCCCAAGGAACGAGAGCCTCCTGTCCCAGAACCTGTAAATGGTGCAGCAGTTACGGGCAAGCGCAAAGCGGAGGAAGCTGGTCTCACCGACGGTGACGACCGTGCAAAACGTATTGCGAGTGCCTCCGTCGCCGAGGGGGATGGAGAGCACCCCATTGTATTGGATGAGGCAGATGGCGGCGCTATTTTGATCGACGACTGAGCGGTCGAAGATATTAGCATTTTGATCGACCGCCAGATGTCACCATTAGAACTCGGCGTTGGTATTTGTCATATTATTTCCCAGGTGCCAGCTCTTGCATGTCGCATTTGCAATTGGGAATCTGCAATCTTTGTCCCATGATGCCCTTGTAACATATCCCACGAACATGAAAAGTCCGAAATGAAACATAGATTGGTCAAGCATATCAGTTACTGCCCCACTTGCGCATGGCATTCTTTCGACGGAGTCTATCGTGGTATCCTCTTGAGCCGTAAAATAGCCTGTCTGTCATAGCAGGTACATAGCTTCTGACTCCGTTATGTAGACGTCGTGTCGTCTTTTCTTCAGACCGCGCTCAAACCACCGTCCAGATTGAGGACGCAGTTGTTCGCGTATTCATTCTGCGCCAGGAACACAGCCGCATCCGCAATTTCATGCGGAGTACCGAACCTCCGAACAGGAATACTCTCTCTCAGTTTGGAGATTTCGCCCTCGCTGAAATCTGCAGTTATATCATCAGTATTCGATCATGAATGGTCACAACCAGCGACGTCTCCACTAGGACTCGACTTACCAGCAATCATCGGCGTTTCTATATAACCCGGAACTATCGCATTGCAACGAATTACAACGCCTCGCAGGGATTGGGCAGCTTCCACAGCCAACGAGCGCGTCAGTCCAAGGATGCCAGCCTTGGATGCAGCATAAGGTACCGCGCCGGTGCCTCCCTTGACCGCAAGCAGGGAAGAAATGTTGATAATGCATTTTGAGGGGACTGGTATTTCAGGTGTGCTGGAGGTATTGCGTGTTTTCATCTGACTGCGGATGGAGGCGCGCACGAGAGCTCGCGAGACTAGCATTGCGCCCTCGAGATTCGTGCGAAGGACTCGGGAGATATCGTCTGGTTCAAGTTTGGCGAGGATGTTCGAGATGGAGATGCCTGCGGCGTTGACGAGGATGTCGACCGGTTGCTGTTTGGATTTGTTAGATGCTATCATCCGAGACCGGGGCGGGAGAGCTCACCAGTGCCTTCTCCAGTTGGCGCAGCCACGTTCCGGCTTCTGATATATCACCGACGAGGAGACTGATTCTACTCGAGGACTCGATCGGTGTACCATGTGGCTTTGCCTGCGTATCTTTGTTTTGAGGTTGTTGGTCTGTTTCGGGGGCTTTAGTTGCTACTTCGCGAACGATGCTATCACTGCTTGATTGGACGGCAGCGAACGCGTTCCCAGATGTAGACGCCTCTAATCTAGAAGCAGCTTTGACAAGCCGTTCATGAGATCTTCCAACGAGGATGACGCGCTTGGCACCTTCTTGGAGGTATCGCTCTGCAATGGCGAATCCAATGCCAGAGGTGCCGCCTGTGATCATACATGTTCGACCAGCTAATCGGTCCGAAGACCTGAGGGGAGGACCACTGCCACTCCGTGTGGTAGACCATGACCATCCGCTGAGATGCCTTGATAATAAAGGAGCCATTTTGCGGAAGTGTGCATGAAAGTTGGTCTTAGGCTGATGAGCAGGCTGTGCTTGAGGACCTAATGTAGACCATGATGTCGATGCTGTCGCGCCGCGGAAGCGGGAACGCAGAATATGCGCATGGTACATGACTGAGTCGCGATGGTCTTTTCGTCAAGGCAGAAGAAGACCTTTCTTCAATGGTTTGATTTATGGCGATAAATCCGGCCTCTTTTCTCCATGAACAACCGAGCTGTTTATAGGGCAGAACAAACTCGATTCAATCTGTAGACTGGAATCGGACCAACTTCTAGATCAGCTCGATTGGTGATACAAGAATGAGTCAAGTTTTAGAAAATTGAAGCTTTCTATAGCGTATCCTCCTAATCATGTAACTTCGTGCTGATTTCGATCCGTTGAAGGTGAGATCGAATCGTTATCGGAACAGCTTCAGCACGGGCCACCTGGGAAGACAACTCGCCTTCATCTTTTTCCCCGATCAACCGTTCTTACAAGTTACGAACAGCAACCACTCTCATACTCCAAAATGGCATCTTCATCATCTGCACCCCCCGAGTATGTGACACTGGTATCAGGCGACGGATTCGAGTTCATCATCCCCCGGAGTGCAGCCTGCGTATCTGGAACGATACGACGCATGCTGGAACCTTCTAGTAAGACAGATCAGTTCACCTTTCTTACGCGGGGAACAGACGCTGATATGTTTTTCACTATGTTGCAGGTAAATTCTCCGAGGCAATAACAGGTCGCTGCGTCCTCGAAAATCTCAGTGGAGTTGTTCTCGAGAAAGTATGCGAGTACTTTTGTTACAACGAGAAAAATAAGAACCAGACCAACGTGCCCGATATGGATATTCCTCCAGAGCTGTGCTTAGAGTTGTTGATGGCAGCTGATTATCTGGATACTTGATGTGTGGGGTGTATGTTACTGTCGTTCATCTGTTCCTCTTCTGCCTTGTGACTAACTGTTTTTAGTTGCATTTCTTTCACGATTCATGAGGCAACGACTTTGCAATGCAAGGATTATGACTGTTTCAACAACCGGAGTTGGTGGCTAGGTATCCTCTATAGAAATAAATCATTTGTTCGGTTCGGGTAGATATCCTTCACGCATACGAAAAAGAACACCTTTGCCAGTTAGGCAGACCTATCGGCAGAGGCAGCCTTACGGTCCTTCCCATCATGGAGCATTCGCTCTAGAGGTTGGGGCTCGCTCCCCGACTTAGCCATCTGAGCATCCCGTCCGGTCCTAGCTCAATGGCCGGACGATCTAAAGATGATGGCAGAGTACCCATGTCCCTTTTATTCAGGCCTCGTCCATCTCCATGGATATAGGGCTTTATTCCAGGGGAAACATGCTCCATAATATCTTTGATCCAGGGTAGTTGTTGCAGATGCAGGTGACAGTGTCTGGTCATCGCGCCTTAGGTTTCGGTTTCGGTTTCGAAAATCCTCCTACTTTATTTCCTTGAGGAGTGCCTCTGTTCTCGTATAGCTTTTCTTTTCCAAACGCGGCATCCGCAACTCGCAGGTAACTCACAACACCTTGGTCTATGACGGCGAGAATGACGTTTCGATACCCTTGCCGTAGCCGCATATAGAGCTGTCTGTCCATTTTCTCGCCTCGCGGCGGATCTAGCGGCGTGCTTTCGAGCAAAGCGCCCAGCTGTGAGAGTGTGGGTATAGAATGAGTGCGGGAGTCGATGACAGCAATCCTGAAATCTGGAGCAGGAGGAGCAGACTTGCGGAAGGGCGTTGAAGGTTTATAGACATGGAAGACAACCCGGAAGGGGGCTTCGGTTCGTAGAACTGGAGACTGGGGGACTGTAGGATCATGCCAAGGTATAATGGAAAGCTTGCGGTAGATATCACCTGGAAAATCAGTTATCTTGTACACCATGGCTTCCAGGACCAACTTACTATAGCTGCGATGAATTCCAACACCCACAAGGGGTATTGTCGCGGCTCTAGGACTTGGAGTCTGAAGCCATTTCAAGAACCGCTCATACACCCCTGCTAAACCTGCACCAACCCGAACGGGCTCCTGTGTCTCTGAATCGCCCCTCGATTCCTCCGTATCGTCATACCACCCAGGCGCCCGAGTAAGCGTATAACCCAAACGCTTCAATCCCGTATAAACTGTAAACTTATCGATGGTCAACCCACCGCGCCCAATAAAACACGCATACGCCGCCTGCAAGCTCATAGGAATCCCCGAGTCGCCCGCATCTCCAGCATCTCCGCACCCCGTCGCGGAAACCGGCCACCGAACCTCCAGACTCCCTCTTTCAAGCATGTACAGCGCCTCCTCAGGAAGCAACCACACCCTATTCCACCGGTCCCCCTGGCCCATCGTCTTGAAGAACTGGCCCTTGGGATTGGACACGTACACACACGCGTCCGGATGAACCCCCAGCTTCGTCCCCGCAGATTTTCCCGGCTTCAACTCGGCGTTCTGCGTTTCGCCTTCCAGGACAGGTGCTATCGACGGCGCGGCGGGTCCATCTGGAGCGTATACGCCTACGATCCTGTGCTTTGGGTGGTGGAGTCGGGGGTACGAGAGGGCATTGTGCATAGCCCTGCGTGAGGCGGCGAGGACATCAGCTTGGAATTCTGTCGGGTTGGGCTCGAAGTCTTTCTCTCCTCTTTTTGGGAGGCTGGACTGTGATGGATCTGCAAGACTATGGCGCAATTATTTAGTAAATGGACCAGACATCTAAGGGCCAATTGGCTCGCGGAACAATACTGACAAGGAAAGGTGGTTTAGCATGCGGAAGTCTTGTGTTTCGTCCGATAGGTCGGCCTCGATGTGGGTGGAAGCGTCCTTTGACGGCAGACGAGCGACATCTTCATCCATGTCCGCCATTTTCGTTGTGAATGAAGCTCCTGGCTCCAAGTGAGTGTGTTGTGCACGGATAGTGGTAAGAGCTGATATCAATCTCCGATAAAAAAATCTCGGTGGTCCAAGCTTATCAGTTCCGCTTGTGACTTTTCAAATCGCGGGGAAGCCGTCGACCGATAATATTTCACAGAGCTTCATGTGCATTCCCCTTGAAGACGGCAATTCTGACATGCCATGGATTCTGCTATTATAGATTATAATGAAATACTTGATCAGGTATATCTTACTCACAAGAACCAATCAAGCACCTCCTAACCTCCGCCAGATCCACACAAACCTCACAAATGCTCTTAACACATTCGGTGCCTCCTCCCAACAGTATCAAAATATATTGAAGATACTAAAGGAGTGCCTGGTTGATATCGACAATGTTAAGAAAAAGAAGCCGGCTGCTCTCGATCCAGATACCCTGAGCTTGGCGATGAAGTTCTTGGAGCTTGGGAGATGATCCACCATTCCCGGTGTTTCATGTCTCGTTGACCCTGAGTGCGGATTTCGGTTGATCATGAACAACCTGGCATCTCTCCATTGCTGCAACATGCAACAAACGGACGAGTCCAGCGAGGTCTGTCGTCATTATCGTCATGAAAAGAACGTTCGACCCAACGCTCCAGTGAATTCCTGAAGATGGTTCTTTGAGCCGGGTGAAGTGGACGACCTGAGGGAATGTTCAGACACTCCGGCATCATAGATCTTACATATTATATTGAACTATATGGCTATAGGACCATATGAGAAAGCGAGTGTCCCACCGGCGACATTCCCAGGATATAAGCAAGGCCGACCAAACACCTCGTTTTCCCCGCCCCTAACAAACAACAAAATGGAAAGGCTACCCTGAATGACATGCAACAAGACAAACTCCAGACCCATGCATTCGTAAAACATAACCATGCTTTGCTTCTAAAGCAGGGCATACCACCGTGATTGAAACTTAGGCTCTGTCACAGGTGGTTGGCGGTTGAGGTAGTAGAGGACTTCTAAGCAGACCACAATTATTCTGGTCTAGTTCGAAAATGATGTGATTTAGGAAACTGAGCCATTTCTCAATCGATTAGTGGCTTCTTCTGGTTTCCAACAATTGCCACTCCGAGATGTCGCAGAGCATTGGGATCATTGGGCCGTACAATAGACGGGAGAGGCAACATAGGGTTGTCTGGGTTCACATGGACTGCATCTCGAGCAGCTTGCTCGATGGCTTCCATTTCTTCTTTGCACCCCGCATGATCAAGAGGGCAAACGACGATTGGCTGTCGAATCGCAATGTCTCGTGCAGACGTCAAATGCGCCTACACTTGGGTTAGCCGGGTTTCGATGAAATTGCCCTGAGTTGGCTGGGTAAGAATACAAACCTTGACTGTCAAATAGTACTCGATTTTGTAGAGACTTGCTGTAGTAGTAAAACCGCTCACAGCATACGTTGGAAAAGCTGCTCTACCTCTAGGAAGAATTCCCTCTGCATCTCGCAGATCCTTTGCTGGAAATACCAAGCCCAAGTTCGTCAAAAAGCCGGTAGGCGGCAACTTCACGCCAATTGGCTCTGTTCGTTTGGCCAGCGTCTTGACTTTGCGCTGTGGTTCATCGCCCTCGTGGTTGTAGATGATCTCTTCATCGATACCAATAGTAATCTTGTTGATTGTGACTTTCCTTGCTTTGGTCATCCAGTCCGGATTTGGTGATAGCTTGACGTAGACGCTGACGGGGTCGAGAGGCCCGTAAGACCATCGCGGTAACGAGATTCCTAAAGTCACCAAGTGATCCGTCACCCGTTCGGCCGATTCAGGGCGATTGTACATTCCGAACGTGGATAATGTGTCGTATCGTGAGATCGGGACTGGAAATGCATACTTTCTTTGTTCCGATTGTCCCTGCTGGACGGTCACGACAATCTCGTAGTACGTCTCCGCAGTGCGACTGGGGAGCTGCAGGCTGGCCGGAGGAACACGTCTTGAAGAGTCCGATCCACCACGTCCGAACGGGATGAAGAGGACAAAAGGTAAATCCATGGATATTACTTCCTCATATTCTCGACCGGCCGGACATCGGAAAAGCAGCATCTCCTTGCCGACAATATCAGTTAATTCCTTCCTAGGGGGCGCAAGATGCTTCTTGGTCACGGAGTCCGCTGACGGGTGTATTGTCTCACGGCGATGGAGAGATACGGTCACGAGGGATACATTGACAGGTGCGGTGATGCCGACGCTGGGTCTGATTTCGACTTTACCTTC